CTGTGATCTTTAATTTATGAGTGCTGAAGAAGCCATAAAGCAGTCTCTCCTCTGGATGTCATTGTGATATCTTTTGGCTTGAAGCACCAAGTAGCTGAACTCTTTGATTCCCTTCACCTCTAATTGTCTTGCTAGTCAGAATGGGCTTCAGAGTTTCAGAGTCATTACTGTCTTCCCTCTTCCACGCGAAATGTCACAAATCATAACTATCTCACTTTTAAACTGCATTACCTCATGCATTACAATAGAAAATAAGCTTAATAAATTATGCCACCACAAGTTTTCCCTTCCAGATATCATTTCTAGTTGAGCAGATTATTCCCTGTTAGATCAGATCCTTCATCAAGGCAGCCTGTAGATGAATTCATCAGAATTCCTTGCTTTATGGAAGCTGGAAATGCAAATGTAACTGGTAGGATGTGTCTGCAACAGTGTCATCAGTATCTCAAAACCAAAGTGACCAGAACCTATTTGGTATATTTGGTTTCTGCTCTCTGTTTGCTGCCACCATTGCTGACATCCTAGTTTGCTGGTAAGTAAAGGAAGGATGAGCAAGATGGCTTATTTATTAATTACTTATTTCATGAAATGTATACACTGCTTGATAGTTGCTGTTTTTAACCATCAAAGCAATTTATATATTTTTTGAAAAGTTTGCAGATGGGGGCTGATGGTGAGTACGGGTTTTAGGGTGCAGTCTTAACCCTGGCCATGCCACAGAAGGGCTTAATGCCCCATCGGGAACCATGCAGCTCACTCTGGTCAGGGAAGGTAGGTTGCTTTTGCTATGCCTGCTGAAAGCTGGTAGAGCAAAACGGCCCAGAACTCCTGCTGCAACTTGTGACTTGCTGCACAAGCTTTGGAGCCAGTGGATCCACCATAGGAAATGTTTCTCTACAATCAGGCCTTGGGCTGATTGAGCATTCTATGGCCTTTCAAGTGTTTTTGTGAGAGGAGGGTTGTTGGTTCTGTTCCGTTCTTGTTTTAGTATGTATTTTTTTTGTTCTTGCTGTGTATTTTTATGTTGTGAGCTGCCCTGTGATCTTCGGGTGGAGGGCAGTATACAGATTTAACAACAACAACATGTGAGGTTGCCTTATACTGAGTCCGACCATTAGGCCATCTCCCTCAGTATTTGTCTACACTGACATGAAGTGGCTTTTCAGGGTTTCAGATGGGAGTCTCTCCCAGTCCTTTCTGAAGATGCTGTGAATGGATCCTGGGACCTTGTGCATGCATATCTGGTGCTCCCAGTGCTAAGCAATCATCCTTCCCTTGAGCTACGGTTCTTCCCTACCTCTTTAAAATGCCCCGTTTCAGAGATTTTATGCTGGCTATCACCCGCAGACACGAAGGCTAGAATTTTATGATTTCAAAAGAGATGAATGCTTCAGCTTTCAATAGAAAGTTTTGGGCATTGTAGGCTGCAGCTTGAACACCCCTGTTGTTTCCTAGTTGTTGTCACTGAGTTGTTAAATGCGCTATAAATGCTTCAGTCCATTTATTGCTTCTTCTGGGTTTCTGTGGCATACTTATTGTTCCTTGGGGGCAAAACTCAGTTGTATACACTTGAGACAGACTTTTAACCAAAAAAAAGGGGAGGGTTAGCTGCACATGTATGTTGTTACATAGGTTTTCTTGTTATTTGAGAACACTGACCTTTTTCGCCTGTTCTTTAGAACCATTCTGACTCCTGTGAAAACTGCTGTGCGGCGTGCAGCTCAAGTGTATTTTCTTCCAGAGTAATATTGATATAAAATGAATACAAGCACAATTTGTTTTCAGACCACAGCTTGCACAACAAACCTTTGTTTGTGTGCGATCCCCATTCATTATATGTTCTTCTTTCTCTGCTCTTTCTCATTCAAATGTCCCTGCGATCAATAGTATATATGATAGTTTGGCACCATCTCAGCGAGTTCTTGCAGATGGATATAAAATTCTATTTTTATTACCACTGGGTCCTGGAAGTGTTTGAATGATAGATTTACAGAAGTCCCCAGGCAAATTGAAATAAGCCTTGAATTGTATCTCAGCAGGGATACTAGGTTATCCTTATTCAGAATAAATGTTCCTCTTTTTATCCCACATATACCACTAATCCTCCTTGGGGGCAGAAGCTACAGATGCCAGTCAGCTCAACTTTAGAAAGGTCTGCAGTGTCAATCTTGTGCTCAATCCCTGTCCCAGAGCTGGAGTTGTACTTAGGTGCAAAAGTTGATATTAGCACATGAGAGGAGAAGCTTGTCATTTCGTCTTGCCTATTGCTTTCTGGAGTTGAGTTCGCTGAAAAGGAATTGATAATACAGCACTTTCATTTTTATTTATTTCTGCATTTCTGTTGTCACCCCAAAGCTGAGTTCTGTTCATGGCACAGAAAACACACACACATACACACCTTAAATACAGTATAGAATAATAAACACTACAACAGACTTATGCTGCACTAGGATCTTGACATTTGTGTTTTTTAACATGAGAAGATCCAGAATGAAATATCCTTCTCAAATACCCTTTTCTAATTTTCATTTATTCTGATAAAACAGTGGTCATCAACAATCTGAGGGGCATATTTGGAATTTTGAGGAAGGACACCACAAAATGACTTCCACCAATAGTATGGCCTAACATAAAATGGTTCCTACCTCCAAAATAGCAGAAAAAGAAACTTTAACAACTGCATGGTAGGCAGAAATTCAACAGGTTAAGCCTTTTGTAGCATGGAAATATAATTATGTCAAGATGCACAGGATGCACCTGTTTGCAGCTTTATTTCACTTATTTTGCTGCCCTGACAGTGAGGTGGAGTAGTCAGCAATCATCTATTCATATACTTTTTTAAAATGTGCATTTTGGGGTGGGGAAGGAAGTGCAGGGATCACCTGTCACTCATCTTGTTGCCCTCTGGCCACATGGTACAGTCACCATGCAGCTTCTCTTAAGGAGCTTCTTGAAATGTGAAAGAAATGTCAGAATCCTCCTCTTGCTGCTGGGTTTATTTCATTGCCTGCTGGCAATTACAGCAGGCAGCCACTTGAGAGGGGCATCAGTGGAATATGGGGTGGAAGATATGGTAACCCTTTCTTGTCCAGCTGCATGCCATCTAGCAGGGATTCTTAAAAAAAAATGTGATGGGCTCAGTGCAGATGCATCTTGCTCCTTTGTCATTATCATCACCCTTTCCCCCAATTGTTCAAAAATTGTTGCGGGAGGGCGTGCACTTTTGAGGTATTTCTTATTACCATCCCATTTCCGCCCTTACTGACTCCACAGCTGGGATTTTTCCCAAGTTGTTTGGGGAGGGGGAAACACAGTGCCAAGACAGACACCCCCTCAGACACCCCTAATTTCCAAAAGCTTGGAGAAGTCATTCATCCTTAAAGATCATACTAGTCTGGGCAAGTATTGTACAAACTGTTACTCTAGTGAGTTGTCTTTTCTGTGTTTTTACCTTGTATTTCTATTCTTTTCTATTTCATATAGTAAAAACAACAACTTGCCTTTTATTTGTGTCTATGACTGGATGTAGTGATTCAAAATTACTACTACATTACTCCATCCATGCACAAATATTTTCCTCCTGTCTTACTATTATTATCACATATTTAAACTTTTAATAGATAGTTGCTCAAGTCAACTTGTAATAGACTAAGCCTCTTCCTCCATTATTTTCACCCTTTCCTCTGTAACGATGTACTTATTAAATAGCTTGCTATCTTGCTGTGAATTTTTGTCTGGGGTTTTTAGGTACTTTACACATTGCTGTTGTTATTAAAATGAAAGGTAATATGTACGCAAGCTATTAGATTACCAACTTCCAGAGAGCCTTTAAAAGTTGAAGAGTTCTTTTCACTTCAAAAACTGAGAATTAGTCTTTGCTTTGCAGCATTCTAGTATAATAGTGATGGGATCATCTGTATGAAGACTTTCACATTAAGTTTGTGTAATATTATCATATTAGATGCTGTGAAGATCTCAAACACATTGAGCTGCTGGAGTTTAAAGTTGCATTGTGACAAATAAAATGAAAACTATTTGTATATATCTTGGATTAGCTACAAGGTTTAATCAGCAATTAATTTACAAGGAAAACACCTTTTTCTTTACTCTTTGGCACATGATAGTTTTTTACCCATTACAGTGATCAGTTTGGTTAATTTTTCTTAGCCTGCAACACTGTTTTTCTTATGTTAGATTTCAACTGCTATATTTTCCCAATTTGGTGACTTGCCATCCCCATGTGATAACCTGTCATATGTTACCATATCTGTCTCAAATGGAGGCTTTTCAATATGCAAAAGTCATATCTGTCAACAGTAAGTGAAGTGGAACTCACCATATGATGTGATTTTGTGAATCCTGATGGTCTGGGGGCACTAGCCTGTGCAATGTTGAATTTATATCACTGTACTCTGAGCTCTGATTCTGATGACCAACTGTTGACATTTCTTTGAAAATATAGCCAACAAATAATAAACTACTACGGAAGAAAATTCATAATCAAATTAACGTTTCTGCTTCCCAGAGTATTTTCTACTTTGTCAGTGTTTTGGGCCAATGGGAATTAGCCATCAAACTGGTTTTTTAAAACATTTGGAATATTTATTCTGAATGTTTAAGCCTGATGAGGAAAAATATTTTCATACAGAAAAGTTTTTTCTATTATGCATATATTTGTCTTCATTCCTTCCCTCGAGGAATCCTGCAGACTGTCATCCTGTCACAATGCAAAAGGTTTATAACGAAGATACTTTAGTTTCACAAGATGATATTTCTTAGGGACTTTTGGCTGAAGCCACACTAGCTAAAGCAATTTGATCCTGGTATATGAAATGCAAATTTATAGTAGAGCTGTGTGCTGCCTGGTCCAATCCTGCCTCAGCTTGTGTTTCTTAATCTGTGATCCATTGAAATTATTACCATTCTCTTCAAATAAATTCTCTTCTTTATTGAACACTTTTTCTCTATTGTGCTTATGAATCTTGCCATTTCTGTTTCAGAAATCAAGAATAGCCACGTATGAAAAAATGTGGGCCTTTATGAATAGCAGGAGGCAGTCGGTGCTTGTCAAAAGTAACGAAGAAGGTATCCAGCGTGTACTCACCTCTGATTATGCCTTCCTAATGGAGTCAACTACCATTGAGTTTGTTACACCAGCGGAACTGTAACCTGACACAGATTGGTGGCCTCATAGACTCCAAAGGTTATGGTGTTGGAACTCCTATGGGGTAGGTTTGCATGCCTTTCTTCTCTTTTTGTTAAATTGCATGTGCAGCAATACCACAATTTCCTCCCTTTGCTGGGTATTAGCTGGATTAAAACAGCACCATGTGCTATTATTAATATATCCATATTTAATATATTTATATGTTGCTTAATAAAGAAGTATATAAGCACTTTACAAAAGGAAACAAAATAAATTAAAGAAGCTAAAACACTGGAGTGCCATATAATATAATAAATATTTTACTAGTAATGTACTTTAATCACTTCTTAAGAGAGGGAAAGCCTGTTGAAGCCCATGAGTCTTCAGCCGCCATTTGGAAGAACATTTGGTGCTTCCCATACTACAAAGAAGGGAGTCCTTGAAAGTTAGTGCTATTAGGAGAAGACCTGCTTGAGTTTTACCTTTTTATATAGCTGTGTGATCAAGTTGAACATTACTGGGATGTAAATACTCAAAGTGCCATTATCACCATCATTATAATTCCTTTTTTCCCATCAGTATGGGTGTGGTATATGTTTTTGGCACACAAGATTTGTCTTGCCATTGTAATATAGGAAAGTCTGTGGTTGCCTGTAAAATTCAAGGCCCATTCTAGGGCGGTCTGTGTTTTTCTGAAGCGAATACGGTATTTTCCTTGAAAAGGGAACTTTCATCAAAGGTTGCTGTAGATCAGGGATGGAAAACCGGTGGCCCTCCAAGTGTTTTTGAACTCCATCAGCCCTTGCCAGCATGGCTACTAGTTGGAGATGGTGGAAGTTGTAACCCGACAGCACTTGGAGGGCCACAGATTCCCCATCCCTGCTATGCCCACTGGTGTGATAATGAATGAGTTCCTGGTCAGTTGTGTGGCATGTTTGGACTGAGAGAGTACCTTGCTGGAGTACCAGGCAGTGATGTACCTCTCTGGTGGAATATCTAAACTCATGGCTGGATAGCATCCAGGCTAGTCCAATTGCTTTATTGGAACATCGGTGTGCAGGCTGATTCACACCAGCATACATAGTGTTCAATGAATGGTCATTTAATAACCATAGACAGAGCAGGGATCCCAAACTTTTTTGGACACATTTGGTAATCTGAGAAACTATGGACCCCCATCATAAAATGATTATCATTGGGGGGAGGGGCTTTCCTTGTCACAAAATGGTTGTTATGGGAGACATGTCTTGTCAAAAGGTAAAAATAAATTCTCGAGAAACTGTGTATGAGCT